TTTTGCACATCATTGCTCCCTTGGCAAATCCATAAGTCAACAGGCACTTGGATTTTCCACCCACAATTTGGGAAGGCTCCAGCAAAACCTCTGCCAGGGTCAGCCCCAACTGATTCCACACCCATAGCGCTCCTTGGGCATCTCCAGAGGCTTTGTGGGATGTCCTGAGAGAGCTGCAGGGCCCCAGGCAGTGAGTGGAGAGCTTGGCTTTTGCCCAGATAAATATTTAAGTTCCTGGGCATCTGAAGAACCCATAATAAAATGTACTGAATGTACAAACCCAGTAAACTGTGCTGGGGAGGTGAGGACCTGCTCCATCAGATACTGCCCAGCGTCCAACACAGACACAGCCTTATCTCCAGACACTCCTCAGGTTGTGCAAGTTCCTTTTTTAGTTTCTTTTTTGTTTTTTTTTTTCCTCTGGTCTGTTTTGCAGAACTTTATCTCGAGAGAATTTATGTTGCAGATAAAGTCGGATGCTTCATTCTGTAAACTTACACTGTGAAAAACCATCCACAGAATTCACTCATTCCAAGGGGAAATGAAAACACCTTTATTTTTGGTTTTAAGTCTGAAATGGAAGAAAAATGAAGTTTGAGGTCTCATTTCTCTAAGACTCGTCAGAGTGATGCACAAAGGCTGTAATTTTTATGAGTCACTGGTTGGAGGGAGCAGTGCTGAAGTGCAGAGAAATCCCACTTCCCAGAGATATCCCACTTCAAAACACATTTCCTGAAGGAGGGTGGCTGGATCAGCATTAAAGAGAGGATTTCCCCTCAGTGCTGTCTGTGCTGCAAGTAAATTTATGGAGTTTTTATGTTCAAGAATTAAGGAGGTGAACCAGCCCTCTGGCCTTTAGGGGAGCCAGAAACGGGGAAGGAAATTGGATGCCAGAAGCTTCTTTGCAACATTAATTTTCTTTCTACACCAAAAATGTCTCTGTGTCTCAGATTATTATCTGTATTTATGAGAACTGAATACTGAAAGTAGTGTGATTTTCCATCATTTCAGTTTTTGGGGATGTCAGTCCATACTCAGCCCGTCCAGTCAGTGATGTCATGTTCTATATGTGGGTGATGTAAGAAAACCATAAATCTGGTTTTTTGTGGGAATGGGAGACCCTGGAAGTGTCCAAGGCCAGGTTGGACAGGGCTTGGAGCAATCTGGGATTGTGGAAGGTGTTCCTGCCATGGCAGGGGGTGGAATGGGATGAGCTTTAAGGTCCCTTCCAACCCAAACCCTTCTGGCATCCCCATCACAACACACCTTGGTGGTTAAAGATGCAGCAGCTGCAAGAATTACTTAGTGGATTTAGTGCAAAAGAGCATAAATTGGGAATTTTACACCCTGTAAGGAAGATCTATTTTTTTAATCAGCTTGCAGGGTGCAGATGGTGCTTTGTGAAGGAAGAGTTTAATCCCAGTTCTGGAGTTTGTCTTGAATGGGAGATAAATGGGCACAGCTGGGCTGGGTGATCTGTGCAGGGGCTGGATGAGAAATGAGGGATTACACTGGAAAAAAAGGCCAAGGATTTCCCTTCAGCCCCAGACAGCAGGCACAGGCAGGATCTTGCAGGCAAATGGAAGAGAAGATGCTGCAGGCAGCAAAACAGCTTCGTGCCAGAGTTGGAAAAATTTCTCTTGGAGATTCAAAGCTGCCTTTCTGATCATATTTTGAGCTCCAAAACTCTTCCTTCCAGGCTCAGGCCTTTCTCTCTCTCCTTCCCACAGAATCCCAGAATGGTTTGGGTTGGAAGGGATCTCAAAGCCCATCCAGTGCCACCCCTGCCATGGGCAGGGACACTTTCCATCACCCCAGGCTGCTCCAAGCCCTGTCCAGTCTGGCCTGGGACACTTCCAGGGATACTGAGGCAGCCACATCTGCTCTGAGCACCCTGTGCCAGGGCCTCCCACCCTCCCAGCCAGGAATTCCTTCCCAAAATCCCATCTAAACCTCCAGTTTGAAGCCATTCCCTCAGCTGCCTTGGTGGGTTTGTAAAGTCCTGGAGGCTGTGGATGGATGCAGCTGGGAGGAATTTGCTGCTCATCCATAGGATCCCTGCTGGCATCCCAGGGATGTGCTGCTGCTCCACCCCCTGCAGCCATGTGCTGCTTCCAAGCAGCTGCCCAAAACTTGCCCTGGATCCTTTCTATACCGCTGGGAGCATCAGGAACAACTGAGGGACTATAAAAAGTCTCTTTGCTATCAGATGGTCAAGCCCTGGGATGATTCCAGGATTGCTTCCAGAATCCCAGCCTGGCCCGGAGCCTCCTCCTGGCCTCCCTGAGTGCTTCCAGCTGAGAGTTGCTAATGCACCATAAATAAACCTCAGAGCCTCAACCTTGCTCCAAAATACCAGGGGAACTCCTCGATTTAGGCTGTGCTGCCTCTTGTCCCCTGCATGTGACCCCGGTTGTCCCAGCAGATTCCTGCTCCATGAGGTAAGCTGGCTGGGATAAATGGGAATGCATGGAGCTGCCTCTGGGTGTTTATTGCTACAAATGGTCAAAAAGCTGGGCAGGGAAACTGGAGGGGTGGGTGGTGGAGGCAGGGATGGGGTTTAGTGGGATGTTTGTGGAGTGGTAATAAATCAGGGTTAAATTAAAGCTGAAATTAGAGAAAACTTAACTATAAAAAGGAGTAGAATATATAATACAGGAATAAATATCTCTAAATACAGAAATAAAATTATAGGTTCAAAAAGATGTTGTATAAAATATAAATATATAAAAATCTATGTATTTTTTAGAGATTTAACATCCTTATAGATATCTAAATCTGTATATTTTTAGCCTGGAAGTGTTCAAGGGCAGATGGGACAAGACTTGGAGCAACCTGGGATAGTGGAAGGTGTCCCTGCCCATGGCAGGAGGTGGAACAAGGTGGACTTTGAGGTTCCATCCAACCCAAACTATTCTGGGATTCAATGATACGATTGAAATAGATTAATATAAATATAGAAATAAAAGTAAAGCTTAAAAGAAATGATGCTTTCTAAAAATAAATTGATACCAATATATATGCACAGTATTTATATACAGAAATACAGTGTGTAAGTAACTACAAGAATATAAATAAAACTTAAAGCTAGATGATGGTTTGGGATGGGACACCTACAATGTGAAAGACAGTTAAATCCAGAGGTGTGCAGCCTCTGGATTCAGGAATGCCAGGGCTAGTGGCATCCACCCCTGAAAATCACCTGGATGGGGCAGTTCCCAGCGTGGCATTTCCCAGCCTGTTTCAGGAAGGAACGATGCTGGTGAGGGTGGGCACTGTGGGGCTGTGTCCTGCTCTGGTCACCTGCTGGGGACCAAATTCCAGTGTTCATTACAATCCTGGGAGTGCTCGGGGAACTCCCACTGCTGCCAGCACGTGGTGAGATCCCAGCCCTGTAGCTTCTCCTGGCTGGGATAATGGCTGGTTGTGTCCTTCAGCATTCCTTGGGTGGGAAAAGCCAGCCAGCTCCTGATCTCTGCTGCAGCAGGGATGGGACCAGGGCTGCTTTCCACAGGGCATTCCAAAGGGAAGGCTCTGTAGCTGAGTGTGTTGGGGTGATAGGTGCAAAAAACAGAGCAAGAAACAGCACAGGAGCTTCAGCATGGACAGCCAGCTGCAGAGGAGACTCCAGAGCTCCTTCCAGGCTCAGGCATGTCCAGAATCCCCACGGAATCATCCGAGAATCACAGGATGGTTTGGATTGGAAAGGACCTTGAATCCCATCCCATTCCACCCCTGCCATGGCAGGGACACCTTCCACCACCCCAGGCTGCTCCAAGCCCTGTCCAGCCTGGCCTTGAACACTTCCAGGGAATCCAGGGGCAGCCACAGCTTCTCTGGGAATTCCATCCCAGCCCCTCCCCACCCTCACAGCCAGGAATTCCCAATTCCCAGTCTCCCATCCATCCCTGCCCTCTGGCAGTGGGAGCCATTTCCTGTGTCCTGTCTCTCCTTGGAGCCTTCTCCTCTCTAGGGAAACATTCCCAGCTCTCCCAGCCTGTATTTTCCCAATCCAAGCTGTATTTCAGAGCTCTCCAAGGCTTTCACCACTGCACATGGATGGCTCCATGCCCAGGAGGATCCTTTTCCAGGTCAGCTCCCACACACTGACCAAGCACAGGGACTCCTGGTCCTGCTCCAGGCCCTCAGTGGTTTCAGTGGTACAAAGGACAGCAGGCTCTGCTTTCCCAGGAAATTCCTTCCCACCTGGAATTGAGTGCAGCAGACCCAAAGTACTGCCTTGGTGGTTAATAAAAATTCCCTTTTTCCTTGCTCCCCGTATTCCCATGGCTCAAATCACAAATACAATGGGATGCTCCTCGTTTTAAATGGGTTTTACATTGTTCAGGCTGGTCCCAGGCAGGAAAATGGGAGACGTTTGCTGTGAAAAGGAAACACTTTGGCCAAAATCTCTTTAAAAAGTGGGTAAATTATAGGCTTTAAACTTTCCAGTCTGATGTGTAAATAAATGGCTTAACTCTTGGATTGCTCCTGTGGAAGTGAGAGGGTCTGGACTGTTACATACATGGCTAAGTAGGGATTTGTGTGCTTATTTCTATTTTTACTATTTCTATAATATCTATTTATATTATTTCTATGTTATTGTGTACTATTATGATATTATATATTATTTCTAATTTTATATCATTAATGTGGGGGTTATTATGATTTATATTTAATGCATGAAGGTGTTACTAGGCTCTGTCACAGTGCTCACATTTACATTGGAGTGACTGTGCCTGGGAAATTCCACATTTTATCCAAATGTTATGTTACCTTTCCAGCCAAGGACACTACTTCTTTCCAACAAGCTTGCAGGGAAAATGTCCTCAACTTGATTTTTAACCATTACAGAACAGGAAATTCATCCAAGGGAGATACTGGGCATTGCTGGATGTTGTTCCTCATGGAAGGATATTCTTCTTTTTCCCCTTTTTTCCCCTTTTTTTCCCCTTTTTTTCCCATCCTGCCATTATAAAAGTGATCGATTTTCCCTGCAGACATCAGGCATCCAGAAGAACTCTCCCTTTTGAGGAAACCCAGAGATCCATCAAAGAAAAAAAAGAAGAAATTGGACGATCAATGTGAAGATGACACCTTCGAGCTGGAGGGGCCTCTGATCACACCGGGGTCGGGTGAGCTGGCAAAAAAAAATGGGAGCAGGGGAAAAAACTGGCACAGCAACGTGGGGCTGATGGAATTCCTGAGGGTCTGTGCAAGCAACAGACCCCAGATCCATGGCACAAGTCCTGGCGGGCTGCAGCACTCGGTCGCACGGATGCATGTGTGGGGCTGGAGCTGTCACGCATTTTTGGGAGCAGAGCAACCCCCAGGCTTCACAGAACAATCCAGAGCCCAAGTGTGGCCACTTGAGCACTCAGATGGTGTTGCTGAGAGCTTTTCTTACCCTGTTGAGAAAGGAGTTAAATGGAAAATCGTTGCTAATGTCTACATTCCTGGCGTGGTTCAGGCTGTGCCACCGTTCTGCTCTGTATTTGCAGCCCAGCAAGGGCAGAGTTTTATAATTGCTTTAGTGTTGCCTTACATGAATGATGTAGCTGTGGATTGTGATGCTAAAAAAATCCTTTTATTGCTGGAGGCTGGTTGGCCAGTGTGGATTCCAGATCCAGAGCAGGACTGGGAAGGGAATTTCTGGTGGAGTAACATCCCTGATGGAGTTGCCACAGGCAGCAAATTGATGCAGGTGTTTGCAAGCAGAGGGGTTTTTCATCTTTTTTCCATGGCTGCTGGAAGTTCTGGTGTCTGAAGGCAAATGGCAGGAGTTTAAACCATAATTTTGGCCAAGTGGGAGCACTTTATCCCAAATGGATTTGTGGAGAAAGCCGCGGTGGTGAGCAGGGGAGACGTGTCTGGCTGCCAAAGCTCTCGGGTTTAAATCCAGCAATCCAAGGTCAGCAGGGCAGCTTTAATTAAAAAAACTACCTTGGAATTGTAAAGTTGTGTAAATTGTTGTTAAATCAGCTGCAGGGAAGGTCATGGAGTGTGGTTAGTGCCAGTGGTGGCACAGGGCTTGCAGAAAGGAAGGTTTTGGCTGCGCAGGGTGATGTGCACCACGGGTCTGGAACAAGGAAAAATAATCCTTCTGCTCTGATCCCACTCTTTCTCCTCTCTTAAAATTAAAAATACTTCTGGGCTTGTCCTCTTCCACTCCTGGCTCAGAGAATTTGGGCAAGGCTCCAGTCAATTTTCATTTCCATTTGGCACTTTCATCTTGAAAGTCCATTCTAAGCCTTTCCAACAGCCAGTGTTCACGGAGAGTATCTCTGTTAGATTAATAGGAAAGACTTGGCCTTCTTTGGGGGAAATGTATGCAAAAGCTGGGCTTTATTTTAATTATTTATGGCTCTTCCAGTGAGTCACTTGGCTGCTTTTGCTCTCCTTGTGAATGAAATCACTCAGAGCAGGTTGAATTCCTGCCTGTTCAGGTGCCATTCGATAAAAGTCGTGGGTTTCATCTGAATAAATCATTTCTAGCGTTGTTCCAACATCAGTTTGTGTGCTGAAAGCTTCTGGAAAACCAATTAATAATTCAAGAGGTGCTGATTTCAATGTCTTGGGAGTGTTTTGTCACTGAGTACCCCCAAACCTGGCAGTGAAACCATTTAAATCCCAGTGGGCAGAGTTGTCAATACACCCACAGGATGTGTTGCCCAACAGTTTCCATTAGAAGACCTGTAGTCACTTGTTTATATAAATTAGCCAAATTTTTTGCTATTTCTGCAGGAACTTTCCATGACACTGCCTGCCTGGGGCAAATTTTTTAAGGGAAGCTTCTTCTGAGATATTTCAGGTGTTTGGAGAAAGAGATGAGAAGAAAAGTGCAGGGGAAGCTTTGCTCTGATGGAGCAGACACTCAGACAAGGAATGTGGGGGGTATTCATGGAACAAACTTCCCCAAAATTTGGGGCAAAAAGTGGGATTTTCTTTTGTTGTTCTAGTTGATGCTCAGCTTTGTGTGCCCAAGCCATGTAAAGGCTGAAGCTTCAGTGGGGGTGGATGGGGAGGAGGGGAGATCTCTTTTGGGAAGTGGCTTATGGCTGGTTTTTGTTGGAGTTCTGTGCTCCAGTGCTGTAACAGTCCATGGGGAGAGCACCTTCCTGCTGCTTTTATAATCACAGAATAGCTCAAGTTGGAAGGGACCCTCAGGATTGTGGAGTCCCAGCCCCCAAAGTACAAGTACCTGGTCTAAAAACCTGGAAATCATCCCTGGCCTTGTCCTTGCAAATGAAGGTGGATTTTTCCATCCCTTGACATCCCTGCTGCTGTTTTGCTCATGCCTGGTGTGCTGGATCTGTCTTGGTGACAGGTCCCCATGGTGATTACAGGTCCCCAGATGATTCATCCAGACCCTTGACATCCCTGCTGCTGTTTTGCTCATGCCTGGTGTGCTGGATCTGTCTTGGTGACAGGTCCCCATGGTCCCCAGATGATTCATCCAGAGTGGGATGCCAGCAAAACGAGCAGGAGCATTAAAAGCATCCTTGTTTGGTGGTTTTCACTTACATTTTCCACCCTGCCAGGCAGTTTAGAATCAGGTTTGTAATTATTTGGAGTTTCCTAGCCACGATGTTGGCTGTCACTGACATTGATGCTGCTGATTCACACCGTTCTTCCCGCTCCTTGAGATGTCCATCGTGAAAATTGAGGGTTCAGAAGGGTTTTTCCATTGGTTTGGTCTTGGACTTTCCCAGTCCAGCTCAGTTTTCTGTCACTCCTTGGCCATGAGAGTGTGAGGATGGTTTGGAGCAAGGAGCTGGAGCGTGGCCCAAGGTGGTGGCTCGGGGCAGCAGCAGGAGGTGGCACAGAAGGTTTTGTTTGTGGCATCTCAACTCTTCAACACCCTGAGCAGAGCTCTGGGAGGGAGAGCTTGGGTCCCTTGAATTGCAGGCTCATGATTTAGGAAGGACACAGCGCCTTCCCAAAAATCCAGAGTGGTGTTGGACCTTCTGGCTCTGGTGGGCAGATTTGTGCCCAGGTGATGCTGGGTGAGCTCCTTGGCCAATCTGTGCACACAAGGGAATTCCTGGCATTAGGAGATGGTGGCTGAGCCTCCCTTATTCTGAAAATCTGGATTTTTTTGTAAAAATTCAGTGTCCCTGTGAGCTGAAGAGAGGCATTGGATGGTTTGGGATGGAAGGGACTCTTCTCATTCCACCCCCAGCCAAGGGCAGGGACACCATCCAGAGACCAGGTTGTCCAAGCCCCATCCAAGCTCTCCTGGAACACTTCCAGGGATGGGGCAGCCACAACCTCTCTGTTAAGCTCTCAGCTATTTTAAGCTATGAAATACCGAGCTGGATTTGGTTTTTTTTTCCTCTTCAGATTAATAATTTTGAAATGTTGGGGTGTTTTTATGTCTGCTTTGAGTCAGTACGAGCTGTGAAGCCTCAAAAGGCCTGGGAGTAACATTTGCTTTGGGATCAGTCTGGCACCACATCGCACCACTCAGCACATTAATCCTGAATTTGTGTGGCCACCTCAGCAAGCTTTTCCATCCGGGAATGCCACATTTCCATGCCCAGCTGTCCTCGTAACGTGAATAAAATAACGGGAAGTCACTTCAGTTGCTTTGCTGCCACCAGCGCTGCTGCAAACGCTCCATTAGGGTGGTGCAACCTCACCTGTGCTGTTCTGCCCTCTTCCAAAAACGCCCATTTTTGGCTTCTGTCCTTCTCCTGCTCTCCGGGTGACTTTCTCTCGCCTTCTCACTTCCCTCCTTTCTTTCCCTCTCTATAGGCACCGATATTCTTTACATCGGCCCCGTCAAAGGTGAGCTCCACCTCAATAGGACTTTTGCCCTCTGCCTCTGGTCTCTTTGGCTGCAATCCTTAGTTTATTTTCCTGCTCCTCTAAAACTTTTGACTTCCAAAATCTTTAAGCAACAGGTAATACCGGTAAGTCGGGGGCCACTCATGTCCCAGATGCCACAGAAACTCAGGGGGCAGGAGCTTCCCGGTGTGGGAGACCTGAGTCTTTTCCCATCCTTTGGGCTGGAAGGAGTTTTCCATCAGTTTTGCCCTCGGAGAAGAGCCGAGAGAGAGGAGAGGGACAGGTTTTCACGGGAGAGCAAGCAGCGCAGCGTTTTTCCCGTTGCTAAAAGACGAGGAGGGAAAGTTTTCCACCCGCCGGCTCCAGGTTTGCGCGGAGCCGGCGTGGCCGGGAGCAGGCAGGGCTTGTCCCTAAGACTAATTCCCGGCTTTTATTCCCCTCACTGGTAGGAAATATCTATTCAAGCCCAGGACTCTATAGCAAAACGATGACGCCGACCTACGACGCCCACGACGGCAGCCCCCTGTCCCCCACGTCCGCCTGGTTCGGCGACAGCGCCCTGTCCGAGGGCAACCCGGGAATCCTGGCCGTGAGCCAGCCCGTCACCTCCCCGGAGTCCTTAGCCAAAATGTACAAGCCCCAGACGCTGCTCGATAAGGCCAAAATCAACCAAGGGTGAGTTCAGGAGCTGAGGATTTGGGTTTTTTTTTTTTGCTGGTTTTTTAATTGTGTTCTCGAGAACGTCGTGGCGACTCTGCCGGAGCGCTCCGTGTGTGTTATCCCGTGTTGGCAATCCACAGGTGGCTGGACTCGTCCCGATCCCTCATGGAGCAGGAGGTGAAGGAAAACGAGGCTTTGCTACTCCGGTTCAAGTACTACAGCTTTTTTGACCTGAATCCAAAGGTACAGAGCTCCTTGTTCTGCTCTCATTTTGAAATTTCCATCCTTCGGAGCGAAGGGTGCCTGATCTCTAACACGCTGTTGTGTTGGTAAATCTCCCAAAGACCGTGGAAGTTTAAAAATGGGTTGTGCAGGTATCAAACCCAGGATTTGTGATCCATTATACCAGGGTTTTTAGGTGTTGCTAGAGGTGCTTAAAGAGTTCTTAAAGCCACTTCTTGTGGCTGAGGATTTTCAATCTCTGATCAAAGTCTTGTGTTGAGATGAGAGATTACAGAATCCCAGAATAGTTTGGGTTGCAATGGGCCTTAAAGAGCATCTCATTCAACCCCCTGCCGTGGGCAGGGGCAGTTTCAGTGGATGGGGTGGTTTGTGTCGAGCTGGGCTCCTGGTTTTCCGAGCATCCCGCGTTTCTGTGCCGCAGTACGACGCGATCAGGATCAACCAGCTGTACGAGCAGTCCAAGTGGGCAATCCTGCTGGAGGAGATCGAGTGCACGGAGGAGGAGATGATGATGTTTGCAGCACTGCAGGTGAGACACAGCCCCAGACGCCCCTGGGTTGGGTTAGACTTGGTTTTGTTCTCGGACTTCTGTGCTCGTTAATCTGATAAACGAAATTTTGGAATCCCAAAGTGGTTTGGGTTGCAAGGGACCACAAAGCTCATCCAGTTCCAACCCCCTTCCACTATCCCAGGGTGCTCCAGCCTGGTCTTGGACACTTCCAGGGATTCAAGGGCAACCACAGCTTCTCTGAGCAACCTGTGCCAGGGTCTCACCACCCTCACAGCCAAGAATTCCTTCCCAATATCCCATCTAAACCATCCATTCTTCAGTTCAAAATCATGTTTTAAGCCTCACCTTGTCTCTGGAGGGAGCTTGGCTTTCTCATGCTGGTAGAAGTTGGGTTGTTTCCCATCTTCAGATCCTCACTTGAGTTTATGAGATAATTTAAATATTTGCCACTGATTATCCTTCCTGAAAAAGAACTTGACCTGCTTTTACCAAACATGTTTACATCTCTCCTAACTTCTAGTTTTGTCCTTCTTAACCCATCCCATACGAACACGGGGTTACTGAACTGTGCCTCTCTGGCTCTCTGCCCCCAAACCAGCTGGGGATAATCTGTGGCTTTCCCAGAACTATTTATTGTTCTGGTTTCTGAAATGCTCTGTGTGATTTGGCATAAATGCTCCACCTGCTATTCACTTCCATGAGAGGGATGGCAGGCATTTGTTCCGTGTGGTCTGGCACACCTTGGAGCTGTAGGATGCAGAAATATCCCCCTCAGGAGCAGGGCTGCCTGCTCCAAGGGCCCCTCCCAGGAAAAAAAGAGTGGAAAGCAGAAATATAATGACTCAGTTTACATCCAAGAGCTCCAGAGTGGGTTGGGCACGGTTCTTCCTGTGAGATTTTATGGATGTTTTGGTTTTCTGGGGTGAAAACAGATGCAAAGACATAGAATCCTCCAATGGTTTGGGTTGGAATGGGCTTTAAAGGTCATCTTGTTCCACTATCCCAGGTTGTTCCAGCCCCATCCAACTTGGCCTTGGACACTTCCAGGGATGGGGGATTTTACAAATATCCATAAACACTTGGTGGGAGGCAGGAAAGGGGGTGGACAGAGGTGCCCAGTGGCAGGAGCAGAGGCCATGGACACAGCCTGGAACACGGCAGGGTCTCTCTGCCCATCAGGCAGCATCTTCATACCAGGAGGGTGACTGAGCACTGGCACAGTTTGGCCAGAGAGGCTGTGGAGTGTCCATCCCTGGAGTTACTCCAAAGGCAGGTGGATGTGGTCCTGGACAACAGCTCCAGGTGGCCCTGCTGGAGCAGGGAGTGGGACCAGGTGACCCCCAGAGGTCCCCTCCAATCTTAGCCTGGTGGAAAGAGCAGCTCTGCCCTGGGGGGACCAGAGATCTCCCTCAGGATCAGTGCCTGGAGACTCCTTGGACTGGAAACATCCAGGATGGTCCTTCCTGACCCAGCAAACCCCCCCAGTATTTGCTGGCCCCTGCTCCTGGTGTCCCACTCTGGTTCCACTCCGCTTCCCAAGCACGGCAGCTGTATCACCATGATCCCCTGGGATCCCGGGGTCACAGGAGCACCCAGGTGTGACCCTTGCCTTCCTTTCCAGTATCACATCAACAAGCTGTCCATCATGTCCTCGGAAAACCACCTGAACCACAGTGACAAGGACGTGGACGAGGTGGACGCCGCGCTCTCGGACCTGGAAATCACCTTGGAAGGTGGCAAGACGTCAACAATCCTGGTAGGGGCTGCAGGGAATTTTTCCAGGCATCCAACCTCATTCATTTCCTTTTTTTCTTCTAATTCTGATGAGAAAGTTGCCCACACCCCAGTAATACTTTCTTTAAAATATTCTTTAGATACCAAGGGATAGTTCTGGAATGAGGGAACCCTGGGTAGCATCTGGAAAAGTCCTGGAGGAGCCAGGATCTTACTGATCCTGCACCAGGCCACCCTCCTGATGAAATAATGGAAAACTAAATGGAAATTAAGTTGTTTTTTATCCTCACTACTGACTTTCCCAAATAACTGAGTTTTCCACGTTGAGCTTCCTCTTCCACTGTTTCTAATTCACGTTTTACAGCACCTAAAGCAGCTGCAGGATTTTCAGAACTAATTTAGGCTTATGAAACCCTATTTTTATTAGACTGGATTTTAGCCTAGGTCTGTATTTCAGAGCACTTGGGTTTTTTTTTTCTTGATGTGCCATTTTAACACTGGTTTTCCACCTTTAAAAATATAAAGCCTGAAAATTAAAGTGCATTAAAAGGACTCAGTCCTGTCAGCCTTGGCCCAGCACAGCTTTTCCAGGCATTTTGCACATTTAAACCGTCTCTTTCCAACCCTAAAATCTGAAATTTTCCACTTTTACACTTCATATAATTTTTTAAGTGTTTATGATGGATCTTTTTGAAGCTACATCCATCCTTAGATGTTTTATTGGCATTAACAACAGCAGAGCTTTGCAGTACGAACCAGAAATAACAACAAATTTTTATCACCAAGACATATTTTGTAATTCCTTTTGCAAAACCAGATTTGAAACACATCACTGAGGAACAGTCCCTGCCAGACAGGAGTGAAGAGGACAATGATTCATCCAAAAAAACCCATCCCTTTCCGTAGGGCTTTGGAGCAGGAGCCATTTCCAGATGCATTCGAGTAATTGAATACGGATAATGGGCAATTACTGGATTGTTTGTTTAGATTCTGCATTTTTTCCCTGTGGTATCTGTAAACATTTTCTCATTGCACACTGAAAGTAAACTGTCCTGCTACTGGAAGCTCCTGGAGCAATCCTTCCTTTCCCTGCCCCTCGAAATTATTTTTACTTCCAGCTCCTGGGAATTGCAAGCGCCACCCTGATGCAACAAAGGGAATTTAAACTCAATATTTTCAAAATTTTGGAGGAGAAAAAAAAAAGTCTTTCTAGGCTTAGAAATCCCAGTTAGTTCTCAGCAGAGCTGCCTCTTCCCCTTTTGTTTGGAGCATCAGGAATAACTGAAGGGAGGAGAAAATTCCCTGTGCAAACTCTGCTGCCGTGACCGCCGGTGACCCCGCGGCTGGGAATTGGCTCCGGCAGCAGCAGGAATTCCTCAAAGGAAAATCAAACCTTGTCCTCTGCTTTCAGAACAGCAGAGCTGGGCCCTGCATTTTTCACTGCTGGCTTCTCCTGGGAAGTTGTGGGGCTTTCTCAGGAGCAGTTTCACAGCCCCTGAGCCCTGATGGGGCTCCTGGTTCCCTCCCCTGCTCCACATCCCTTCCCTCCTGATCCCACTGCTCCGAGTGATTGGGATAACCTTTGATTTCCAGGGTGACATCACTTCCATCCCAGAGCTCGCTGACTACATTAAAGTCTTCAAGTAAGTGCTGATGGGAAGAGCTGCTTGTGGAACTGGTAATGCCTGTCAATAATTAATGGTCCTGCCTCTTAATTTCCCTTTTTTTTTTATGTCCCAGCCTTATGATATTCAAAATATTCAATACTTAAGTTGATTGGTTCTTAAATACAAGATTCAAGGTGTTTTCCTGCTCTGGTGCATTCTATAGCCAGCAATATGTGCTTGGATGTTTCTTAAACACATTTAATGCCCAGGAGAGAACAAACCATCCTAAAATGAGGAGTGAAACCTAAAAACCTCCCTCAAAGACTTCTCCTGGTCTGCAGGAGGCTGGAGGAATTCTATCCAGCCAGGATCCCGGTCTCTCCATGCCAAAAGGAGCAGGTTAAGTTGACTCTGCCCCTCTCTCAGCTTGCTCAGGATTTAGGGGGTTTTTTTAGCTTATTGCTTTGACTTGGTTGGTGGTTCATGGAAACCGGGAGTGGCAGCATCTGGACTTGGAGGAACATTTTTGGCAGCCACCACCATCTTTTGCAATTTATTGCCTGCTGCAGTGAAAGTTCTGGAAGCTGGAAACACTGATGGGATTTCACAGCAGAGCTGCAGGATAGTGGTGGGGGGGGGGAAAAGCTGCAGACAGTGAAGTAGCTCTGGAACAAACCTTTATTTGATGAATTGTTTGGTTCTGGAGCCAGAACCTGGCACTCTCTGCTCTGAAAACCCCTTCTCCCTCTCCAGAGGTGAATTAATGAGGTCTCTGCCTCTGTCTGGGCTTGTGGTCTGGCTTAATTGGGATGAAGTTTCAAGGCTGTGCCCAGCCCCTCAGTGGGTGTTTTTTCACTCCCTTGAACAAACAAACAAACAAAAAACATGTTCTTCCCCTTGATCTGCTGATTTGCCAATCAAATTAGGCACCACTCCGGGAGCTAATTGCCTGCAAATTGGAGCACCAGGGGATGGAGCAGCCAGGAGCTGCTGGTTCCTCAGTCAGTGCAAGCCCTAAGCCCTGGGGTTGGGGTTTGAGGCTGTCAGATTGAACACAGAATTCTGTTTGCTCCTAAAAATAGGGCTCAGGTGGTATTTTAGTGCCAGAAATGCAGTGTGAATGGTGCAATGTTTGGAGCTGTCCCAACTCTGGATGTGCCTCTTGTCACACTTCAGCTGGGGAGGAGAACTGGGGGAGCAGTGCATGTCCCTTGTATTCCATACATTTAACTCCTGTAAATGTGTGCCTGGTGTGGCTGTAGAGATTTGGAATGGTTCTCTCTCCCCTGCCAGCCAGGTTACTGCCCTTGCCAGCTAAAAATCATAGAATTCCAGAGTGTTTGGGGTTGGGATGGACTTTAAAGACCATCCTGTTCCAATCCCCTGCCATGGGCAGGGACACTTTCCACTATCCCAGGCTGCTCCAAGCCCTGTCCATCCTGGCCTTGGACACTTCCAGGGATCCAGGGGCAGGCACAGCTTCTCTGGGCACCCTGGGCCAGGGCCTCCCCATCCTCACAGGGAAGGATTTCTTCTTAATATCCTATCTAAAATACTCTCAGCAGCTGTTTCTGAGATGAAAACACAAAAAAATGCATGAGAGGCTGCAGATCCAGCCTTAGAATAAGGTTCAGAAATCAGGGAAGGTTAAAGTGTTCTGATACCTGGGGCTCTGTAAAAGCTCTGGGCTTGTACTGGGATGAGTTCAGCGTGCTTCACTTTGCAGGGCCACCAGTTCTCTTGCAGAATCGAGCAAAACCCATGTTTTCTGTAGAAAAGAAGGGAACTTTTTGTGCTGTGGAGTGTTTAAAAAGAAAACAAGGAGTGCACTCAGGCGTGTGCGTGACCGACGTGTCCTTGGAAGTGCTGCTTCCCCCCAGAGCCTGAGCAGAGTGGTTCCAGTTTCATGTGGTGGCTGGAGAGGCAGATTTTGCAGTGGTTCATGGACTCCTCTGTTTTTGTAGCACAGTCCTCCAGCTCCCCCCACTTTGCCCCAAATTATCTCCCTGGGATTTAGAAGTCCAAACTTGGAATTGGAGCTCAGCTCCTTGATCCAGCAGTGCAGGAATGGCTGAGCCCCCAGGCAGGAGTGGGAATAACCCAGGCTGCTGACAGCAGCTTGCCAGGGCTGAATTTCTGAGGAAACGCTGAGGTTTCCTAGGGAGCAGCTTGTTTTAGGAGCTCAGACCAAGTGAGATGTCCCTCCACGTGTCCTGCAGGCCCAAGAAGCTGACGTTGAAAGGCTACAAACCCTACTGGTGCACCTTCAAAGATACCTCCATCTCCTGCTACAAAAGCAAAGAGGAATCCAACGGGACTCCTTCTCACCAGATGAACCTGAGAGGTAAGAGAAGCGCAAGGTTGGGCTAAGAGAAACTGCTTTTTGTTCCAGGAATAGGCTGCTCCTCCTGCATCTTGTTTTCCCACTGCTTTATCGCCTCGGAATTCCATCCCGGGGTTGGGTAAAGGTGTGTAAAGGAATGAGGTGGCTGGCTTTGATATCATGGCACAGACTTGGAGTTCCAAACAGTGGCTACATGTGATCCCATGGGGAAGCACCACCAGTCCCCCAATAGCTTTGGAAGAGAGCTTGGAGAACCATGGAATGGTGTGGGTTGGAGGGGACCTTCCAAACCTTGTTCCAACCTTCCACCTGCCCTTCTCCTTTCTGTCAGTTCTCCAAAGGATTGCACTGACTCCCATGGCAGAAACTGGAAAGAACAGACCATTTTCTTCCTCTGCTGCCTTTATTTCTCCTCCTCTCCTGCTGCTGGTTGGGAGCAGCCTCAGTCCAGAGCTGAAATTCCTGCGGCAGCTGCCTGTCCTTATATCAAGTGAAACATTCCTGCTCCAGCAGCTGCAGAGCTGCAGTGAGCTCATGCGTTCTCCGCGTGGATGCAGGAGCAAGGGGGATTGCCAGGTGACCTCAGGCTGCTGTGGGAGCAAGTCCTGGCCCCCAGGACCTTTCTGGGGGCTTTTGACAAATCTGCTGTGACGGCGCTTTCAGAAATCTGGAGGCGGCGTTGGCGCGGCGCCCACGCTGCCGTGGCTGGGTCGGTTCATCACCCCTGTGTTTACACAACCACTTGGAATTCTCTCCAGGCACCAGGAGTGGGATGCTCACAGCCAAATCATGGAATCCCTAAATGGTTTGGGTTGGAAGGGGCTTTAAAGCCCATCCAAAGTTCCACCTCGTTCCCACAGGCAGGGACACCTTCCACTAAACCAGGATGGTCCAAGCCCCACCCAGCCTGGCCTGAAACACTTTGTGGCATCCCATCATTCATCAGTAACATGGAGGGGTTTCAGGGTGACAGTCAACACCCGTCCAGTCACCTTTTCCTATCCTTTCATGAAGATTTTGGGGTGTTTGCCAGCCACTGGATCCATTTCTGATTCCAGACAGGATCCAAGAGTTCTGTGGGTGCGCGTTCACTTCGGCTTCATTGCTTTCAGATCAGGTCTTGCTTTTCCCCCCATTTTCCTGAAATTTGAAAAAGGGGACATCTGACAGGTTTTTTCTGTGCTGTGTAGAGTGTTCATCCCATCAGAGGTGTGGGACAAACCTTTGGCAGCACTGAGATGCCACTGGAGACCTTTGGGTCAGGGAGCTTTGCTCTTTCTTTTCCTATTTTCACTTTCTTTGCCACTTTTTAAATCATAGTTCCTCACACCCCTGCTAAACACCATCTCCCTCACTGCAGGATGTGAAGTTACCCCTGATGTGAACATCTCTGGTCAGAAGTTCAACATCAAACTCCTGATTCCAGTGGCGGAGGGGATGAACGAGATTTGGCTGCGCTGCGACAACGTAAGTTCACCTCTTGGAGTGGCCACCTCTTCAAGCTTTTCCCACCCTCCTGCTCAGGGGCTGTTCTTTAAAAAACAAATAGAAAATGCTCTCACCTGTCTGATCTCAGCATTCCAAATGTGCACCAAGTCACCTGTGAGTTCAGAGCAGAAAATCAGCTTTGGCTTTGCTGGGTGGTTTTTGGCCACACGTTGGTTGGGTTTCTGCCTGTTTTTGTGCATGCCGGAGTCTCCTGAGGCTGGGAGGGGAATGAGGTCTCCATGGGGTGTTTTTTGAGGGGTCTGGTGGTCCCCCCATGGCTGTGACAGACACATGTCCCTGTTTTGGGGGGCAGGAGACGCAGTACGCCAGCTGGATGGCCGCCTGCCGCCTGGCCTCCAAGGGCAAGACCATGGCCGACAGCTCCTACGGCATGGAAGTGCAGAACATCCTGTCCTTCCTGAAAATGCAGCATTTGAACCCAGACCCGCAGCTGATCCCGGAGCAGATCAACACCGACATCAACCCCGAGTGCCTGGTCTCTCCTCGCTACCTGAAGAAGTACAAGAACAAGCAGGTAGGTGCTGCTGTCGGCCTGGGTTGGGCTGGGCACGCGTGCCGGCGGTGGCTGGTGTTTAACACGGCGTGGTTTGGATGTTTTGGATGTCCTCACTCACTGGGATGCACGTGGTTACTAAAATGAGCTGGGACTGAAGGGTGTGGTTTGGATCCAGCACCCGGGGATGGCACCCAGCACCGGGGTTCTGCCACGTGCCGTGTGAAGTGCACGGACACGGCGGGGAACCTTCGATTGGAAATGCATTTGAAATTGCTTGATGTTTATTTTAAACACATTCTGGGAATGGTTTGGTCCCTGCTGATAATGGTTTGGCTCCAGCTGCCCCATCTCTGCCCGGTGCTGGGGTTAAAACCCCTTCCCCTGCACAGAATCCATGGAGAAATCCCCGGGATCAGCGGAGTTGCAGTTGCTTGCAGTGCTTTATCCACACTTGGCTGTAACACGGTTTGCATATTTCTCTCTTTGCTTTTCCACTGCTTCCAAATGCCAGTCCTTGGAACATTGCTTCAGTTTTGAGTTGCTGTGACTCGTGCTTGAACTCCATCCACGCTCCATCCGATCCCTGCCTGACAGGGCTGAACTGTTCCGCACTGGGAATAAATGCAGGGTTCTCTCAAAGAGAATTATATGTCAGAACAGCAGCAAAAATAAGGAAAGCATTGCTCCGTGGCCTTTTGGTGACTTAAATCCTTCAGGCTGCTGGCTGGGGCTGGATATGATTTCTCCAAGCCCAGAAGAAGGCTGCAAGTCAGAGAAGCCGGAAAAATATAACTTTTTATTGGCACAGCACGATGATTTCCTGGCAGTGGAGTTATATTTTATATAGCTCTTATTATTCTCCTGAATAAGCCTTTATATCCCCTTGGATGGAGGAGAGGCTGCATAAATATACTATTTTAACGTATATGTATAGATAGATATATTTATATATATAAAATAATTTCTAGGTTTCCGGTAAAACAGAGGCACCTGGAAAAATATTAGCTCGGAGAACTTGCTTACTGTGCAGGTATCCTGGTTATAAAAATAAAATCCATGGAATTGTGGGGATGGGCATGATGGGGATGATCCCAGTCGAGATGTGGCCATGGTGTGGACACCAGGGCCCTCATAGGCATCAGCTAAGCTGTGGATTTAGGATTTTCCTCGGTGGCCAGAGGCAAAGCTTGGAGCAGCAGAGGATGTTTGCTGAGAGGAATGAGGGATGGAGGCTGCAGGAATGTCAGGAATTTGACCACAAGGGTCCTTCTGAGGCACAGGGAAGGAGGAGGAGGAGGAGGCTGTGCAGCCAACAGGAGTTGCTGGAATGGGAATTGGCTGTGGATTTATGGAGGCTCTTGAGTCCTCACCAGCCCCAAACCCACTGGGGTGATGTTTGTCTCCACGTGCAGCAGCGTAGGGTTGGCAGGTTGGGATTGGAAGCACCAAATCCTAAATGAAAATAAAAAAAAACTGACCCAAAATAGGGATTTTCAGAGTTCCCAGGTGTCCTGCCAGAGTTTGGTGTCAGAGCCAGCTGGGGCAGACACGTCTCTGAGAAGCACAGCTGATGTTCCTTTCATCTGCTTGTTATCCCAAGCAGCATCCCAATCATTTCTCCACACATCCCAAACAGAAGGATCTGCTGAGCTCAGAGTGAGCTCCTGAGCTTCCTCTCGAGCTTCCCCAGCCAGAGAGTGGCCTGGAGTTTGTGCAGAGATGTGGAGAGGAAAATGAGGCCATGAACCCACTTCTGAACTGGCAGCTTCTCCCTCCCCTTCACCCTCCAGCAGGACCACGGAATCACAGAATATCCTGAGTGGAAAGGGACCCACAAGGAGCAGAGTCCAGACCCCCAAACAATCCTACTCTGGGCATCTCTGGCAGGGCTGTCCAAAGGCTCCTGGAGCTCTGGCTGCTTCGGGGCTGTTCCCATTTCCTGGGGAGCTTGGGCAGTGCCAGCACCCTCTGGGGGAGGAACTTTTCCTGAAATCCATCCCAAACCATCTCAATACCAAAACCATCGCTCCACAATGCCAGGGCCCAGCTGGGGTCACTCCAGTGCTCCAGCAGGGCCGGCATGAGCGAATCTCTGCTCGCTTGTCCCTGCTCACATTCCCTTCGGCTGCTTTTCCACCTAAGGAATTGTGCATGTGGTTTGTTTTGGTTTTTTTTTTTTTGCTTGAACTTTGGTTTGCAGTTAATTTACACTTTTTCTTTGCTTTGTTGCCATATTTCTGATTGCTTTTTTTTCTTTCTGCCTCCTTTTCTTTTTTTTATTTTTTCATTTCGCCTTGCCATCTTCAGCCAGGCTATGTAAGAGACTTGGTAAGTGACAGCAACAATAAAATTAAGATAAACTTAAAATAAACTTAATCTAGAACCCCTTTGGTTTAGAGAGCAGCGGTGAAAGCACTAACAAAACCTGCACCCTCCCCGTGACACTTGGGCCCTGGTAGGTTTTTATAACAGTCCCCAGTGATTTATGGGGTAAAACCAGAAACCCTACACCACAACTTTGCGTTGTTGTTCGCTCACATCCTTAAAGTTCCCGAGAGCATGAGTGGCTCTTTGCCTCCAGACAGCTCTGATCTATATTTGCTTTCCTGTATCTGGAGATGGGAAGCTCCACGTGGGCTCTGAGCAGTCAGAGCTGAAATAAAGCCTCAGGGGAGGAATTATTGATTATCTGCGCTCGGATCCGCGGCGGCTCCCCAGCCGCTCCCGTGCGCGTGGCAGCGGAGGTGGCACCGAGGTCCCCTGTCCCCTGACCCCGCTGTGTCTCACTGCCTGCAGATCACGGCGCGCATCCTGGAGGCTCACCAGAACGTGGCCCAGATGAGCCTCATCGAGGCCAAGATGCGCTTTATCCAAGCCTGGCAGTCGCTGCCGGAGTTCGGCATCACGCACTTCAACGCAAGGTGGGTGGGGCTGTGGGGCTGGGCTGGAGGAGTTTCCTTCATGGATGCAGGGAGTGATACCCTGGAATCATCATGGAATGGGTTGGGTTGAGTTGGATTGGGATGGGTTTGTTTGGGTGGCGTTGGATTGGGTTGGGTTGGGTTGTGTTGGAGTGGGTTGAGTTGGATTGGGTTGGGTTGGTTTGGGACGCATTGCATTGGGTTGTGTTGGATTGGGTTGAGTTGGGCTGCATTGGGTTGGGTTGGTTTGGGTTGGAATGCATTGGATTGGGTTGGGTTGCATTGGGTTGTGTTGGATTGGGTTGAGTTGGATTGGGTTGAGTTTGGCTGCATTGGGTTGGGTTGAGTTGGATTGGGTTGGGTTGGTTTGGGTTGGAATGCATTGGATTGGGTTGGGTTGCATTGGGTTGTGTTGGATTGGATTGGGTTGGGCCACCTTGGATTGGGTTGGGTTGGGTTGAGTTGGATTGGATTGGTTTGGGTAGGGATGCATTGGATTGGGTTGGGTTGGGTTGGATTGGATTGGTTTGGGTAGGGAGGGATGCATTGGATTGGGTTGGGTTGCATTGGGTTGTGTTGGATTGGGTTGGGTTGGGCTGCCTTGGATTGGGTTGGGTTGTGCTACCTTGAGTTGGGTTGGGTTGGTTTGGTTTGGGTTGCATGGGGTTGGGTTGGGTTGGGTGGGGTTGGGTCGCATTGGGTTGTGTTGGATTGGGTTGGGCTACCTTGGGTTGGGTTGGTTTGGTTTGGGTTCCATGGTGTTGGGTTGGGTTGGGTTGGTTTGGTTTGGTTTGGGTTGTGTTGGATTGGGTTGGGCTGCCTTGGATTGGATTGAGTTGCCTTGGGTTTGGCTGGGTTGGGTTGGGTTGAAAGGGATCTCAAAGTTCATCTCATTCCAACCCCCTGCCATGGGCAAGGACATCCCTGTGCCCATCCTTGGCTGGGGAAGTCACGCTGCAGCTGAAATTAGAAACGTGAGCTGCTCTGATTTATAAAAACGATTTGACAAGCAAACTCAGCTGCTGGGTTTGTGTGTCTCACTTGTTTTTTTCAATCCCTCTGCCAGGTTCCAGGGTGGGAAGAAGGATGAGCTGATCGGCATCGCCTACAACCGGCTGATCCGCATGGATGCCAGCACGGGCGACGCCGTCAAGACCTGGCGCTTCAGCAACATGAAACAGTGGAATGTCAACTGGGAGATCAAAATGGTGAGATGTGTCCACCACCCTGTCCTCTCCCCTGCTCCTGCCAGAGAGACAGGAACCCATTCCTGGAGTCCTGGAATCCCAAATGGGTTGGGTTGGAAGGGACCTTAAAGCTCATCTTGTTCCAATCCCCTGCCATGGGCCTTCCACGATCCCAGGTTGCTCCAAACCCCATCCAGCCTGGCCTGGGACACTTCCAGGGATCCAGGGGCAGCCACAGTAAATCTGGGCATGCTCACAGCCAGGAATTCCCAATTCCCAATCTCCCATCCATCCCTGCCCTCTGGATGTGTCTTGTCCCTCCATCCCTTGTTCCCAGTCTCTCTCCAGCTCTCCTGGAGTTCTTTTAGGCACTGGTGGAGTTGTGTGTGACCCCTAAGAAAAAACCCTGAATCTTTCTCTCCTGTAGCCAGGAATTATTTTCTCCATTCTCTGAACTCCACGCAATTAAATGAAGTGAAACCTCAGCTCTGATGCTCAGACCCCATCCTAACCCATATCACAAATATACATGGCCTTATCCATACTAAAATTCCTTTCCTTTTCTGTACAACTCAGACTTTCATGTAAATAGCAAGCAAAACTGAGTAGTTCCTTCCCCAAGCTCTGAGATGGGCTTTCCCCCTGCTGTTACATTTGGATGCACAAATTTTTGGGCTCCTTTTTGGCAGAACACACAATTAAAACTGCTAGGGACACGTGAGGGCTGTTCTCCTGCAGTTTGCAGCTCATTAAGAGTTGCTGGAAAAATTATTCAGCGTCCCCCTCTGCCTCAGAGTCATTGTTTTGACTCAGTTGCAAGCCCAGATATCCCAATTATCCAGCTTGGATACTCTGCTGGGAATCCCCATCCCTCCTGCAGAGCTGTCAGTGATGGGGGGACAAAAAGAGAACGAGCATCAATAAATGAATGGTTTGTTCAGTCACTCCAGAATGAGCTCCCCCAGCCCCCATAAGGTATTTCTGTGGCCAAAATTCAACTTAGAAAACCAGGGAAAAGTGCAGAGAAAGGCCAGACTTCAGGTCTGTGCCCAGTCCCTGTTTCTCTGGAAGCAGGGAAAGTGTGGCCATGTTCTCACCATGGAGAGGTGGAAACACACTGAGGGATTGTTTCTGAGTCATGGGAGACTACAAAGGGTAATGGTAATTTAAATAAATAAATGAATGGATAAATAAATATAAAACAATACAAAAGGCAATAAAAGGTATTTCAGTATCTAAATATTTGAATAAGAGTCATAGGATATTTAAAGGAGGAAGGAACTCATAAGAATCCTCAAGGCCAAATTACCATTCCCAGGATCCCAGAATGGTTTGGGTTGGCAGGGACCTTAAAGATCAACTCATTCCACCCCTGCCATGGCAGGGACACCTCCCACTATCCCAGGTGCTCCAAGCCCTGTCCATCCTGGCCTTGGACACTTCCAGGGAATCCAGGGGCAGCCACAGCTGCTCTGGGCACCCTGTGCCAGCCCCACACAGAAAAGAATTCCTTCCCAATCTCCCATCCAGCCCTGCCCTCCGGCAGTGGGAGCCATTCCCTGTGTCCTGTCCCTCCATCCCTTGTCCCCAGTCCCTCTCCAGCTCTCCTGGAGCCCCTTCAGGCCCTGCCAGGGGCTCTGAGCTCTCCCTGGAGCCTTCTCCTCTCCAGGGGAACATTCCCAGCGCTCCCAGCCTGGCTCCAGAGCAGAGGAGCCCCAGCCCTTGGCTTCCTCTGGGCTCACTCCTACATTGGCACCACAAAATTTTGCTTAGGCGTTAGAAAACCCCAAAAAAACACGCCGAAAAACCAGGGAGAAGGGAAGCAAGGGAAGCAGCAGCTCCGTGGGGAGGGCAGGGCGGGCTGAGCTGAGCGTGCCCCCGCAGGTGACGGTGGAGTTCGCGGACGAGGTGCGCGTGTCGTTCATCTGCACCGAGGTGGATTGCAAGGTGGTGCACGAGTTCATCGGGGGCTACATCTTCCTGTCCACGCGGGCCAAGGACCAGAACGAGAGCCTGGACGAGGAGATGTTCTACAAACTGACCAGTGGCTGGGTGTGAGCGCCGCCAGCCTCGCCCCCGGGAGCCCCCACGGCCATATTCATGTTTAACTTTCCAAAGCTGTCCTTTGAGATAATGCTGCTTAATAAAGTAAGCTTGAAATGTATCTTTTTTTTTTTTTTTTTTTTTTTTTTTTTTTTTTTAACAATTGGATTTTTGGTCGGGTTTCTCGTTGTTTTGTTTTGTTTTGTTTCTTTTTTCTTTTTTTTTTTTTTTTTTTTTTTTTTTGCATTACCAGATCAGTTAATCTGTGTGCACTAATGAGCACTTCTGTTAATTTGCTATAACCAGACCGTGTCTGGGCAGGGTGACAGTGACCCACAGATCCAGACTCCGATGGGCAGATCAGGATAAAGATTTAACTGACTTAAAAAAGCCAATTTTTGAAGAGAACTCTAAGCCATCTTCTTGTAAAGCCATCCAAGGCTAACCTATATGAAGTCTATTTATCATGTTTAATGCATGAGTGTTTTATTTCCTTTTTTTTTTGTGTTTTTATTCTGTACATTTGACATGTTTGAAGTCGTCCTGCTCCCAAGCAGAGCTGCCATCTCTCCTCTCACACTACACCAGGACTCTGAAGGTGCCTGACATGACTTTGAGGATAGTTTTGTGTGGCCTCGAAGATGATCTTCTGTTAGTCTGTTATAGCTTGGTTTTATTTGTTTAACTTGCCTTTTGATAATCATTTATATTGTCTTTTTTTTTTTAATTTTATTTGTACACCGTATTGTATTATGACACTTTTAGTATTCACCAGCATAGTCACTGTTCTGCCTCTGATATGCAAATTTTTTCATTACGATATGAAGTAAAAGGTTTATGAAGTAAAGGTTTTTGTGTAACTAATGTAAAAAACCACAAATTTTATAAAGTTGTACAGTTTTTGTAACTAGTCTCACAAGCCAGCTAGGACATTGCATAGATCAGCAGTAACTGTAGGATGTCTGGAAGGGGTACGGGGACAAACCAAGGAATAAAAAACCCACAAAAAATACAATTTCAGTCCAGTAAATTCTGATTACGTTAAAGAGGATTCCAGAGCTGTGCCACAACACCCTCAGTAGCTGATCCCTGGGGCCAGGACCACCAGGTTCATTAAGCCATTCCCACATTAATGCTAATGAGGAGGGATCCCGTGCCCACCTAATGCCAAGGAATATCCAGTGTTGCGTTCCCATAGTCCGTGGCATCAAGACTATGTTCAAATACATTTTATTTTAAATAAAAGTCAAATCTTCTATTTAACATTCAGCTGCCACTCCTGGTTTTTGGGGTCTACCTGTGCTATGGAAAGGCCATAAACAATTCCATAGGGTGGAGCCATCCCAGCCTTGGGCTCCTTCCTGCTGCCTTATCCCAGGTTTCCTGAAACAGATTCCACCAAAAAGTTACAAAATTCTGGAATGGTTTGGGTTGGAAAAGACCTTAAAGCTCAGCTTGTTCCACCTCCTGCCAAGGACAGGGACACCTCCCACTATCCCAGGCTGCTCCAAGCCCTGTCCAGCCTGACCTTGGGCACTTCCAGGGATCCAGGGACAGCCACAGCTTCTTTGGGCACCCTGTGCCTGGGCCTCACTTTCCTCACAGCCAGGAATTCCTTCCCAATATCCCATCCATCCCTGCCTTCTGGTAGTGGGAAGCCATTCCCTGTGTCCTGTCACTCCAGGCCCTTGTCCAAGTCCCTCTCCAGCTCTCTTGGAGTCCCCTGTAGATCCCACTCCCTGGCCCAGCAGTGGGAAGCAGCCCAGGGATTCAGGGAATCACAGGATCTGAGCTGAACCCACCACTAAACCACGTCCCCAGCTGCCACATCCACAAAGCTTTACATCCCTCCAGTGACTCCACTGCTACCCTGGGCAGCTGTGCCAGTGCCTGACAATTCCATCAAGGAATTTCCCCTAATAATTCCCCTGATATCCAACCTAAGCCTCCCCTGGCACAAATTCATCTCTCCATTTCCGCACCGATCCTTTCACACCGTGTGCCCCGGGACTGGCTGCACCCTTGCTCCATAAAATCCAGGATAAGGAAGGGGTGGCCTGGTGGGGCTGGGCAATTCCTCCCACTCCCAACAGCAGCACCCAGGACGTGCCAGGGATGCTCCCAATCCTGCCCCACGCCCCAGGGCTCATTCTTTGGGATGCAGCAAGTCCGGGCAGCTCCGAGACACGCGAGCGGAGGGCGGCGAGCACGCTCCTGGCAGGCAGCACCAGGATCTCGGCTGGAACAGCTCCAAAGCTGGGTGTGTGATGGGGAAAAACATTCACCTCCTATTGCCTCCCTGGAAAACATTCACCTCCTATTGCCCAGCCTGAGGCTGGGCAGATGGGGAGGTGAAAAGATGGATCCGGTGCCCTCGGTCCCCAGGCGAGCTGCAGGGCTGGCCTGGCCGGAGCTGGGGGAGGTGATGGGGCAGGAAACGCTGGGCAGAAAAGGAGAGGAGGTCGGGAAGGGCCATGGGAAGGCAGAGGATGCTGCCAACCACAGCCCTTCCCCACACGGCCCCCGAGGGTGGGAGCTGGGAGAAGCCAGGTGGGGAAGCGGTGCTGGAAACAGGGAAGGGTCACGAGGTGATCCGAAGGAGTTTCCCAGAAGTTTCCAGGATCTTTCCTAGATGAAAACTTCCTTTCTCCTTGGATGAAAAGATGTAAGTGGTAATGAGCAGAGAGGGGTAAAAAATGATGTGGTTCTCCTAAAATCTGGAGAAGCCTCAGATAAAATTTGGCACAGATGGGAGTGGCCACACGCTGAGGATGGACAGGGGTGAGGAGGAAGCATGAGGAGCAGACTGGAAAAGGGAATAAGGAGGGAAATGGGGAGAGCTGGAGCCCTTTGGAAAGGAAGGATGATCCACCTCAGGGACAGGCAGCAGAGAGGACAAAGAGGTTTGTGGTTGTTTGCTCCATGATCCTGAGCCAAAGGAAAACCAGGATGTGGTGGGCACATCCCACCAGCCAGAATTCCAGCGATGTGGAAATCACAGGCCAGCTGGGTTTGGGGTGTCTGGGCATCAAACCCAGCAGCAGAGGATCAGGAGGGTCTTGGCAAGACAAGGCACAGCCAGACCCAGGTCCTGCAGCTCCAGGAACTGGAAGAAAACACGTAGATTTATTTTGCTGACACAGGGAAATCTGGCTGCGGTTGTTTCTTTTGGGTAACGAAAGGAGCAATCCAAATTAAAACCCAAACCAAAACCCAGGAGAAGCCAGCCCGTGGGTGTCCCCAGCCTTGGGGTGACTCAGCCTCTGGGAGGGAAAGCTGTGACTGCCTGGCATCCACAAACCGGGGGCTGTGCTTGGGAAAGAGGAATTATTTCCAACTTCCAGTGATAAGACACGATGGGGTGGGAGATTCAAAGCCAACAGGGCTGCTCCAACCTCGGTTTAACAAAAGAAGCGGCAGAGATGCCTGAAAATGGGACAACTCCAGCCCTGCAACAGCAGCAGGGCCAGGGGGATGATGTTCCTCCCCTGCTGACCCCGCTGCAGGACCTTGAGGAGGGGAAAAGGAAAAAATAAATCATTTTTTGGCAAGGTACTGATGCAAACCGGCTGCCAGGCTGCAAATGCACCTCTCTGAATGGAGCAGGGGATTGGGATGCCTGTGTGAGCCAGGCATGGCCTGGGGGGTCGGCTGGGATTCCTACAGCGCTTTAAGCCCCAAGTAATTTAATGCCGTGCAGATGGGCGAGTCCCGGGGCGGGTTTGGAGAGGGATCGGCGGAGTTTTGGATGCGGGAGAAGTTTGCAGACGCACAGGTATTTTTTAAAAACAGCAATAAAAGAAATATCTCCCCAGCAGGGCTGTCCCCTGCAGCAGGCAGATGGAGACATCCTGCTGACAGGAGTTGATGGAAAAGAGACATTTGGGGAAGCTGCTGACTTCCCATCCTTGGAAATTTTCAAGATGAAGTGGATGGGGCTTGGAGCAACCTGGGATAGTGGAAGTGTCACTGGTCATGGCAGGGGGTTGGAAGGAGACGATGTTTAAGGTCTTTTCCAACCCAAAACATTCCATGATTCTGTGATTCTTCTCTAACACAAACTGATCCCCAAGCACTCCAAAAGGAGCTGGGTTATTCCCTCCACTCAGGACACGTGGGTTTCCAAAAGTCCTCCCGATCCTCCCGCCCCAGGGGCTTTGCTGTGCCGGGCAGGGGCTGAGAAAGCTCCTTAAATGAATCCCTAGTAAACCCAAAGCGGATGAGTCACGGCAGTGTCTCGGGAAGCACACTGGAGAATTTCCAGCCTCCAGGCCGGGACAGGGGCTCCTGGGTGGCCCAGCAGCACTGCCCTGCCTGGGAGCAAAGCCATCTCCCAAATTCCCGGGGCTCACACCAAGGGGGAATGCCAGAGCTTTACCCGACCTTGCCCTGCCTCGTCCGACCTCTCCAAGCCCCTCGGGGGGGTCGAGCATCCCAGGGCTGGGACCAGCAGCACCTTTCACCCCGACCTGCCCCACACAGGGACCCTCTGAGGGCACTCAGGACCAGCAGGGATGTTCCTGGAATTGATTAGGGATGCAGGAAAGGCAGACCTGGTGTCGCCAGAGCCAGGATCCAGCGCAGAGCTGGAACCACACACGGATGTGGATGTGCCTGGTTCTGTCTGGCCTCATTTCCCAGGTGTATTATCCCTCATCTCCGATGCAGGAAGGGATGCTGAGGATCCAAAGCCTTCCAGAGTGACAGCACCAGGAGTGCTTTAATGGGTCTAATTAAATCCGGGCGGATCAGTGACCGCTCCTGCGGCTTCAAACCTTTCTGGAGACCAGTGGGGGTTTTATTTGTTTGCTTTCAGTCTCACAAGAGCCCCGGGTGCTTTGATTTGCAGCCCTGAGGCACTAAACAGATAAAAGTTCCATAAATATCTGCTGGATGTTATAGATCTGAAACAAATAAAGTGCCCCCCTGCTCACAGCTCTTCCCGTAAGCAGCAGTGCGATCCTGGCCTGCTCCCGTTTCCATCGGCAATCCCAGCCTTTCCTTTGAAATCCCCTGCATCCCTCCAGCTGTTCCACATATTTCAGGCTTCAGTCTCCCCCCAGAAACTGCTCCTTTGGTTTCCCTTAAGCTCTCCCGTCTGGTTTTCATAATCCCAGGATGCAAGCGGGGACTTTTCCCAGGCCGAAGGTCTGCGATCCCTCGGGATGCAAACCTGGATCTTCCCCTGCTGATGGGCTGTGGGGGAGAGGATGGGAAACTCCAGTTTAAGAAGGACTTGAAATCCCAACGTGCCAAATTCATCCCAGAAAAGCTGCCAGGGAGCTCACATCAGTGTGATCAGCACTTGATCTGATCCGAGGAAGAGGCTGTGGAGCTGCATTTCAGGAGTTTTTCTTTTTTTAGCTTGACACAGGAGCAGCAAAATATTTCCCAAATTCCCAAGTGACTCAGAAAGGCCAATCCCATATTTCACAGTGGCTCAAATAGGCAGGAACCTGTCAGATACTGAAATCATTCAGAAAATTTTCCCTTTGATCCCCAGCTAGGACAAAGAGTTGGTAACAGAGCTCCCCTGTGCTGTCAGCTCCTGGTGAAGCTGCAGATTCCCAGCTGGTGGGAAGCCTCTGCTTGGAAAACTCCCACTCCCCCTCCCCTGAGAATGCAGCAGTTTGAGCAAATAAAGCATTTGCTCTGGGTTTTATTTTTGGCTTTTGGTCAACAGCTGGTCCGTCCCTAATGAGTGAGCTGGGCTTTGATTTCCTGCCTGGAGAAGGGGGTGAGAAATGGGAGAGGATCTGGGTTAGAAATTTGACTCACACCAGTGATCCCAGCTGGGATTTACTCCTATTAGTCCTTTGCCTGGGGACATGTCCCAAAGAGAGGCCCTGGAACAGCTCAGGAACAAGCTTAGGGGTCACAGGGGAACTGCAGGGGTGCCCAGAGAAAGTGAAGCTCCTGATCCCAGGCTCTGCAAGCTCAGGCACCACACTGCCCTCCAAACTGGGCTCAGGGAATGGGATGGCAGTGGCTCTCTTCTTCCCCTTGTGCAATTCCTTAATCATCATCACAGAACCCCAGAATGGTTTGAGTTCAGAGTGGCTTTAAATCCCATCTTATTCCATGGGCAGGGACACCTTCCACTGCCCCAGGTTGCTCAGAGCCCCATCTGACCTGGCACAGAAAACTTCCAGTGATGGGGCAGCCACAGTTTCTCTGGGCACCCTGTGCCAGGACCTCACCATCCTCATTATTCTGTTTTATTCATTTAAATCCCATCTAAACTTGCCCTCTTTTCCACATCT